CTGGGAAGACCGAATTCAAACCAGTTCGGCAGTTGGTATAAACTGGTGGATAGGATTAGAAGACCAACTGGCTAAACTCAAACCGGTTTCACTATCGGATTAATTTCGGATCTCAAATCGGTTTCAAGTCATAGTCCAGTTTTTGTGCCCACCTGCATAAAAAAAGCTATCAAAAATCATAAAAATAGGATATTACGTTTCTTTTTCTCACTGTGTTCCATTCTCCAAGGTGGTGGTGTTTGGCATATTTTTATTTTTTAATCACAAAACGGTCCACAAAATGGCAGCTTTAAGATGAATTTGGTATGCAAAATGGCCTATAAAATGGGCTGAAAACATAAATGGGCTCATTCAATTTTGATGTTGGGCGGATATTTGTTGCTATTCACGATGCACGTAACGATATACGACTTGTAAAGACATCGATAAAATTTCATCTCAATCAAGTCACGCTTGTCTTTCGATCCAATCACTTGATTAAGGTTGCAAAGTGCAACCAAAATTCCGAAAATTCCTTTAAATCTTTTGCTTTTATACTAGATCTCGAATGTTTCTACAAGGATTTTCCTATGATTTAATCGGTCATCATCCGCTTGTATAAATCGGCATAAACATAACTTAAATGGATAATATTGTCGACAACGAGCTGTATAATAGCTAAAATATAAAAAGAATGTAAATTATGAAAAAACTAATACAACATGCATGCTAAAATGAAATAAATAAAAACTAACATAAATATAAAATATTGTATAAATCGGCATAAACTAATAAAAACTAATATTGTGTATGAAAAAACATACACAATATTATTTAGAAAATATGTTAAAATGATGCATACCAATCAACTTAACAACAATCAAATAAATACTTGAGTCTACAAATGATTGTTGTTAGAATTACAATTACAAATTTTAATGTGCAAATAATCACTATAATGTTGCAATAAAAATTATGCTTACGTCGTAACCAATAACACGATGAATAAGTACGCAAACTGATAGATCATATTTGTCTAATGATCATCTAGGTATTGAGGTTTATATTATTTTCTTCAAATTGCTGACAATATTCTGAAAAATAGAAAATAATTCTTTCATTATTTGTCTACCAAACTTGTACATACGAAATGTCAACTCAAAACTTGGAATTGGAATGTTAGTTAATTTTCTTCTCCGATATATTTTGATGGTGTTATCATGCATTGCCTCCCTCAACAAGTGGCACATCACCTTTTTGTTAGTCTAACGATGATTGGATTGCATTCGATTTTTTGAACAAATGTGTTCATCCATAAAAATTTGAACTTTAAACGTATAAATATTTGGAGCTAGGGTACGTAGCCCTGATTTGCCATTATAGTTATCGAAACCACATACTACCTCATACCTACTATATATTATGGTTTTAATCTCAAAATCTTCTTCAACATATTTCAAACCTAATTATAGTTTGATTTGCCGATAAATTCCCCCTATTGATCGATTTACATGGAAATCATATTCAATGCTAATAACACTATATGAACGATGTTACCATATTTGGACAAAGCAAACATCTATCGAATGGATGACATCATTGTCGTGAATTAGCTAGACAACATATTTTATTTAAGGAGGTTGGAAATATATCCATGTCTTATTAGCTAGTGACATAGCTTTCTCGTCACCAAATCAATTATACTGCTGCAAATATATTCCATAAACACCAATAATAACGTCATGTACTCTATATCATGAGTCTCTCCAACGACCCTCCACTATGAAAAAAATACCTTTAGTGTCTCATCAAATAAATGTGTTTTGATCAAGAAAAACGTGTTAAAAAATAATTGAAATGAAGATTATATGTAACAAACTATACCTTCGGGCAACAAAATAGAATTCACAATGTTTATTTTAAAACCTAACAACACTCCAGGAGAATACACATGTCTAAGATTTTTTAAAAAGTTTATTTCGTAATAAACGTATATTTCGCAACATGCCTCATTATAAACGCTTTAAGTAAAATAAGTGTTTAGTTATAAATATATATTTTATAGTAGTGTTAATTGCAAAATAAATAGTTATTTTATAATATAAAAAATTACTTATTGTTAAACACACATATTTTATAGAAGATATTTTTATTTCTATGATTTCTCATAGTTGTAAGTTTAAATGGTCAACTAGGTGGTTGCCTTTGGAAATAAGGTCAAGTTCTAATCAATTACTTTAATGTAGGACGTGGCTCCGAGGTCGTCCCATATAGTTGGCTTGTTACGTATAATTTTTTTTATAAAATATACTTGGATTTTTATGACATCCATTTTTATAATATAGAGAAAAAATTTAACTTGTCTGAAAGAGAAATATTATTCATCGGTTGTTTTCATAATGTTTTTACAGTAGTTATGTTTTTTTTAATATTAATAGTAATTTTATAACGAAGGTTATTTTCAATTTAATTTTTATTATATTTATAATTTTAGGATCCATTTTACTTTTTGCTCCAACCCACTATACTAAATTTAATTTTTATTATATAAGACTAAGAGAAGTGGTGAGCATTTTAGTTGCCACATTATTTTTCTTCATTTAACACTTACATTCAAAATATATATATATATATATATATATATATATATATATATATATATATATATATATATATATATATATATATATATAAAAGTGAAATAGAGATTTGATTCGATGCATAAAGTAGTGATTTTTGTTTTTACTGTGCATACTTGAAAAAGTGAGCCAAAAGAAATGCAACCAATGAAACACAAATTTGCCTTTCTCTTTCATCTTGCTAACATGTTGGCGACTAAACGATGGCGAGCCCCCTAGCGAGAGCTAGGGGCCGTGTTTCCTTCATGTTGGCGAGCATGGCGACCTTCTTAGCGAACACGACTCCGTTCAGCCTAAAAGACAAAATCAAATATTTGGAGAATATCTATCCTCTAAAGACTATTTTTTTTTTCAATTGTCAACAATAAACCACAAAGCTCGCAAATTAGCAACATTATATATTATCTGACAACCAAATCCCACATTTTTAAATTAATTTGTGATTTTATGTTTGACTAATTGTATGGATGAATGAAAGGTTCCCATCCAGGCCATCCGTATTACGAAGCTCCATTCGTGACCCAAAACATAAATTTCTAAATGGCAACATTCAAGCTGGAGTAGGAGACAATATCTCCCTAATTTCAGTCATGAAGTACACCTTCGGCTTGATAATCAATTGGGTTGGGTAATATCCATGGATAGTTGGATCAAGTGATATTTATAGAGAATTGTACACACAAAATTACAATTGCACATTTGTGCTTAGACATTTATTGGAACATCAGTGTCAATAATATAAAGATTTCACGTATGCTTGGTGGATGGTAACAAAAGGTCTCATGGAACTGCATTAACCACTCACGAGAGTTTTCAAATATTGCATTTATGTTGGTGTCGATTCCTTTAGACCACTTGAATTTCGTTCAAAAAAATGGTATAATATGCCTATCAAATTCATGTAACAAAACAACATTACCTAAATTACTAAAAACTCATTTACCATAGTGTTTGAGTAACAGATAACAAAAAACAAAAAATAAAATAAAATAAAATAAACGAACAAACTTTATTGATTACTTACTTCCAGTGTTTGTGTTTATCAATTGATGATCCACACACACAAGTGTTTTTTTTTTTCGTGGTGAAACATGTAGCAGAAGAAAATAAAATTTTCAAATATGGGGTCCCATGGGACGTATTGTCTTACGTTTGTAGTTAGCAAGATCCGGATCTCATTTTGTTAAAACCCATAAATAATGGTTACCTTAATATATACTCTCAGTATTTTATGATTGACTTTTGATTATAAGTTACAATAATTAAGAAAATAAAGCATTAAAAAAAACTTATTTGGTCGTAACGTGGAGTAAAAACTTAGCCAAATTCTATAAAATTACTATGAGCATGTTTGACATGGAGCATATGAGATTTTATATCTTCTAACGTTTAACAAAATGTATGTTCTGTTTTTAATAAAAAAATCTCTTTTAACACTACAAACTTTTAAATTTTAGTTTAAACAAAACATTACAAATTTAAAAGTTATCTCACGTAACGTTTAACAAAACGCTACCAGCTATCTATCACTCGATAACTGTTTCCAACTAGTTTTGTCGATATTTATTTTTTGTAACTGTTTTTTTTTTCTATTCTAATATTTTTTCTTTTTCAAAAATTCACTAGAAAATAATGACTTGCAAATAACAATTGAAAAAAATATAGATTACAAAAAATAATTGTTAAACTATAAAAGAAATTAAATGGTTAAATCGAACAAATTCAAAACCGTAATGTTTTTTTTAGAGTTCAATTTTTTATATAATAGTTTTTAAAAGCTAACAGAAAGAAATTAACGTAAACTGAAGAATAAAAATAAATATAGTAATTTTTATGGAATATAAAATTTAATTATTTCATTTGAGCTTTTATTTTATTTGTTCTATTCAACGGTCGGAGAAAGTAATATTCCATTGAATAATTTCCTCGTCATGTGAAACAGTGTTTGAAAATGAAAGTCTACCGGCAAAGAATTCATCGGTCCACATTCATACGCTTCCAGATTCAATTTCCAATTAAAAATTTCAAATAATTAATTTTTCTGAATTTAATATTTTACCATTTTAGAAAATATTTTACTGACAAAAACATGCGTTAAATATCTAATTGATGTTCTAATTCTAACCATATCAAAAATATAATTTAAAATTTTATTTTAGATACGCACGAAATACTGTCATATTATTTAAATAATATTTACGTCACACGCTTATAATTATAAATATTTGAATTTTTTAAACTTGCACTAAGGTGATTAATATTTTTTTATAGCCGTCCACATGTTTTCTATTACAACTAGATCATCTCAACTTGATTTAATTAAAAAAAAAATTATAAAAACAATTGTGATGAAATCAGAACAACCCAGAATCTAAGAAATCAAAGTATATTTGTAATTTTAGGTAAGAAGATATATTGACCGAATTATTGGCCTGAAATCATGCCTTGGATTTTGCGTCGTGATATCATCTTCTTCCTGATTTATATAGATTGATTTTGCAATTAATTTAGAAAATTCACTTCAACAAAAGATTCAAAAAAGTATTACATGAACAAATCGAGTTAACAAACGGAAATGGTAAAGTTTTGACAGAGACAAAGCGAAGAAAAATGCATCAAATCCATGTGGAAAGCAAAAAATATAATCATCAAACGCGTTTACATAAAGCTGGGAGACAATAAATCACCAAAAATCCCATGAAAAAAAGAAAAATTGCACTCAAGAAAAAAAAGTAAAACAAAAACATTAAAAGTTAAAAACAACCGAAAGCTAATTCATATCATCATAATGTTAATGACCAAATATTAAAGCAACAAAGCGTGTACTTGTTACGTGGATTCAACCCAATTAGAGATGCTGATATCATCAAATCTAGATCAGTTCTTTCGACTACTTGTTTGTTGGGTTAGAGTTACTTGTGATCTAACCGGGGTTGAGTTTGATTTGATTCATTCTTGTGTTTGAACTTGATCTTGTAGTCAACTTGATGATGATGACGATGATTGCCGCACTGAACAAGCAACAACTTGTGCCCATTGTCTCAATTTTGTCTTCACAGTATGTGGATTATCACCTTCATCATCATAACATAAAACATCTCATTAGAAATCCAGCAAAATTCAACTGAAAGCAAAATTGAGACAATGTTTGTTTTAGATCATGATGATTACCGAACTTTATAGGTTGTAACAGTTGAATGATTCGTAATTGAAATTCAAATAAAAACTAGTTTTTCGAATCGGATTAAATCAGCTCCAATTTCGAATTGTGAATCGGATGTTGTGAGATGCAGTAAGAAAAAGGAAACTTACCGCGGCCGAATATGGCGTGGGGGCTGCTCGCCGGAGAAGATAAATCGGGCTCGGAGACAGCGTAAGAGTATGAAGACACCGACGACGAAATTGACGAAGACTTGGAGATCGTATCAAAGTATTGCTTGTTGACGGCGTGGTAGAACCCTAACGCCGGTAAAGTATTGGAGAGGCGGTCATCCAATTTAGGAGAATGTTCGAAGCCAAAACCTAGCTCGATACATGCCTTGAGCTCATCGATATCCTCATCTGTGACGCTCTTGCTCCTCTGGTGGTGGTTGTGTTTGCCCTTCCGCCTGATCCATTCCTCGTCTCGGTGTAGGTCCGGCGACCAGGATTTATGTGAGTAGATAAGAGAGTCTAGAGGCTGTTTGGACGGAGACGGTGGTTGTGTGGTGGTGTAAGGCGGAGGCATGGTCGCCCAACCCCGTTAGGGCGGGGGACCTTTTGGAATTTGAATTTGGGGAGCGAAATTTCGCCAAGTGATGTCCGAACTTGCATCGTGAGAGTAATATAAAGGAGTGGAGCACAAGGTTTTTAGATGGACCCACCTGATGTATAAAGGTTGGTGACGTCATTATTCGTGTTTGGACCCACAATGTTGATTATTTAATGGTCTCCATAACACCAAAAAAAGAATAATAACATTTGTTAACGATGACGTCTCTTGTAACCCATGAATTTATATTTGTTACCAAATAATAATCAAATAAATTGAAATAGAAATGTTAAATACTTTTCCAAAGATGTTATTTTTTTGTGGTGAGATAAAAATCTAGGACAAGTACTTTTTGGACAAGTTTCACACCGTGTAATTGATTATATGACGGTGAATAAGAATATATTTTTTTAAATATATGGTTCAAGATAATTTGTTTTTAGAACCGTAAGTTTGTCTAAGATTGAATGCAATACATTTTTGTTACAAACACGGACACATTATTAACCAAATGAGTTAGCCTCAATTTTTTTCCAGAACAACCGAATATATTAAAAAAGATAGGTTAACGCAAGGCTAACAAAAAATTACAAAGGAATTGACAATATCGGGTTTAACCTCCAAGACAACTGACTACACTAATTTTCCTATTTCTACCCACAATCCAAGTATAGGAATAGTCGATCAATCTATCAATCAACAAATTCCTTCTAATATTAAGACCATTAATGTAACACTCGGAATTTAGAAGGTTAATTATGGAAATAAAACCTTATTTCTAAAGGTCAACTCGTCGAGTTTAAGGCGTGAACTCGGCGTGTTGGAAATATGTGGCACACACATTTTGAAGATCGACTTGATGAGTTGGAGTGGTCCAACTCGATGAGTTGACGCTGGAAGAGAAAACCCTAATTTTTCGGGTATTGCACCATATTTAAAGGACTTAACTTCTAGGGTTGACCTCCTTACCAGCCTCCCTTGTCCAAAAGAAACCCTAGATCGTTTTTCCACTTGTTCCTTGAGTTTTATGAGTTTTAGAGTGATTGTTGGAGATCCTTGAATGAAGCATTAAAAAGAGAAACATCAAGCTTGGAGGAGTAATCTTGGATCCAGAAACCCTACATCAAATGCTACATCTTGGAGGTATAAAGTCATAAGCTTGACATGTAGCTTATTAGATATCATCTCTTGTAGTTTTGGCTTGGTTTTAGGTATTTGACCGAGTTATCCAAGAAGAAGAGGATTCCAGGGGTTGTTAGAGCAGATCTAACCCCTAAATGACCTCTTGAAGCTTAAAGTTGCAAGCTTTATTGGTCCCTATGTCCCATGCTTGTCATATATTCAGTTTGAAGCCTAAAATGGACCTTAGGGAGCGTTTCAAGCATTCATGGACGTAAAGTTAGAAACTTTACGTGATTTCTCCACCAGTAGACATCATATTTGTGTTTTGGGACATTGAAATGAGAGTTTAAGGGATTATGTAATGCTCGTAGATCCGGGCTAGTCAATTTAGAGATAATAGGGGTCGAAAACAACTTTTTGACAAAATACTATTTATAATAAATAATCTTAACCAAGTTGTAGAATATTTCTCAAGGGTTTTGTACATATAAAGAACGCCAAAATCCGAGTTATAACGAAGAAGTTATGGCCCGTCGAAGTTTTTCGGCAAAACCGGCACGACATCGGGAGACGTAAATAGTGAATTTAATATAGAAGACTTTTTAGCCTTGTGGATCTAAATTAAAGTTGTATAATACATCTCCACCTACGTGTGGATATAAAGAACGTCAAAAACGAAGTTCGTATGCAAAAGTTATGCCATTACGAAGATTTAGCTTTTAAAAACCCTAAACTAGCTACTTCACGACGTGAGAATTATGACGCTCATGAAATTCTGTCATAATTCGGAATCTAGAAGCTGCGAGAGGATAAGATCCAATTCACGACATGATAATTATGACGCTCAGGAAATTCTGTCACAACTCGGAATTTAGAAGCTGCGAGAGGATAAGATCCAATTCATGACGTGAGCTTTATGACACTTACGACGTGAGGTGTCATGGTCACCATCCGAAACTAGGGACGCAAATGGCAAGTCTACGGAGTGAATCATGAGATTCACGACGTGATTCTTATGACACTCACGACGTGATTCTTATGACACTCACGACGTGAGTGTCATAAAAATTTACTATAAATAGCATGCGCGCCATTCCGAAAATCTCACACCTTTCTTCATTTCTTCTCTCTAAACTTTCTCTCTCTAAGGGTTTTAACCCTCCCCTAAGCCTAGGTGATCCCCTAGCACCCTAAGGAATCCCCGAGGCTCCCGGAGTCCCGAGAAAAAGAGTCTTTCGGTTTCGAAACGCTGCTCCAAATAAAACCCGGTTTTCTTTAAAATCTGCTGTAAGTGAGCTACGCTTACGCAATTTTTAATATAGCTTTCAAATAATTATAATAATGTTATTAGCTCCTTAAAATAATTATTTGGGCTATTATTATGAGTTATATTGAGTGTTATTTAACATTTATATAATAATAATAGTTAGACTATTAATTAGTCACGGTTGACGTTAGACTAAACCCTAGTGGAATTGATACTAGGTTTTATCGAAGGAGAATTGTTTTGAGAGTATCGAAGCGCTGTCCGAGTGCCGAGTCACCACCTACTAAGGTGAGTGCATAGTTACTTTCATCTTACACATAGATATGAAGTATTTTAATATAAATTACGTGGTATGTGTGCATATGAATACTTGTTGTCTATGCTAGTGAAAGATTTTTTTTATACATGTTTTAAATGATGTAAAGTGTATAAAGTATTTTATATCTACAAAATATATTAGGTAAAACATGGGTAGATGAATGATGAGGGATAAAAGCTGAAATAGAGGAACATTAGTAGTATGCACCTAGTGCCCTATAAGTAAACATTGGCAGCAATGGACCTAGTACCCTATAGATGAGCACTGGCAGCTGCGCCACAACCCGTAGATGTTTTAGATCTACGGTAAACATCTTCGCAGCTGCGCTCTAAAGACAGTATCGGCAGATGCGCCTAATAGGGAGCCTTATGACCGTGACAGTAGCGTTTAAAGGTCAATACCGGCAAAAGCGCCTCATAGAAAATGTGCCAATTATGGCAGCTGTGCCTACGCGATAATATTAGCAGCTGCGCTTGACCACTGTGTCATTGGCAACAATGGACTTCATGTTGTTTCCTTAGGATGATCCTTACGAATGAATGAATAAGGGTTAGCTGATCCTTAGGGTAAATCCTTAAGAAGATAATGGGAATGGGTAATTGGGTTGATTGTTTGATGTTTAAATATAATAATTATATTATTGTGGGTTGAAAACCCTATGTACTCACCAGGTTTCCCAACTTGACCCACTCGGTTTATCTATATCACAGGTGTCGATATAAAGTTACATTACACTGAGAGATTTTAAAGAGATGTAGATCATTAGTGTAAATGAATGTAAGTTCTATTTATGCTTATGTTTCTGTATTGACAATGACATCCCAAATATTTTAAAAGTGAAGAAAAAATGTTTATACCCCTTAACCAATGATTTAAATGTTTTTAAATGCTTTATGGAGGGATACAAGTTAAATACTTATAGTTATTACATCAATCACATGTGATTAATAACTACAAAACAGTGATTTCTTACCGTTCAAACTGTTTATCAAACCGTATTGTTCCAAACTGTTTTACAAACTCTTTTACTTATCAAATACTTTCATTTAAACTCTTTAATACTTATTATCATTTGCATGTCTATGTATGTATACTTATATAATAAATGTTTAAAAGGCTTAAGAAGACCTGCCCGCCCTATTTCCTTTTCGCGCTTGAGATGTGGTCTGGTGGGATATCGGGTATCCGTCCGAAGGTCATTTAAATATTAATTATATATCATGTGTACATATGTAGTCATAAAGGTCCTTCCAGTTCATTCAGTACCCTTGGGTAGCAAGGGTATACTTCCAGGTTCATACGTACCAGTTACATCATTAGTAAGTTACCATAGGGGTAGCACAGGAGAATACTAATATTATAACTAGAACAAAGAAACATACAATGAGTCAGTTCATTCATGAGTCAGTTCGAGTAGTACACACAGTACATTACTATACATGCTAGATAGAGAGAACGTACATTACAGCTAGCACACGTAGAACATTTTAGTACACACAGGCTAGACAGAGAAAGATTACACTTTCAATTAGCACATTTATTACATATACGTTTGTGCAGTTATGTGAACCATTGAGCGGGTCATGGCACTTCCTGCCACGACCGTTCGTGTATCCCGAATCTCCTTAATTGGAGAGTGTATGAGTTTGCGTATAGATCTATACTGGATTGACTATCCTACACCTTGCTGCTCGCTACAGTGGGACTTGCAAGTCTACGGGTGCCAAATGTCATTTCTTACGACGTCTTACATCATCGTTTTACTAGAGTCGGTAGCAGGATACAGGTCGATCACATGTTATTTGAAAACACCTTATTGTATTAAGGTAGTTAGTACCACGGTAGTCACTTATTACAAATACTACGGTACGATAATATTTTCTCATTACATTCACTTCGTGAATATTCACACGATGCACGATAATGTAGTAACTATATTTTTGGTTAATGATAGTCAGAACTTGGGAAACACACACTCTAACAAGAGACATATACACGAACACGAGACGCCTTGGTAGAAGGCTACAGTTAGTAGAAAACATAGGGTTTTCTAGGAGAGTTCAAACATTATACAAAATATTGTACAAAACATTTTACAGAAACAACTTTCAAACATTTTCATACAAACTCAGACATTAATATACTTACGATCTCACCAACATTAAGTTGATACTCACTTTCAAAATAACTTGTATTCTCAGGTCACCACTAGACAGGTACAGGTGCTAGGCTTTTGAGAAGATGGAGTTCGTTCAAGACTCATCTTTTATTTTGATATGTATATTTTTGGTGTCTATAACATTGACATAACACACATGTATGAAATTATAATATTAATGCAATGGATGATGTTGTTGCTTGTTTACTACTATTCATTGTTGTGATACTGTACATGACGTCCCCCGCACCAGAATGTTTCCGCCATTCATGGTTTTGGGGTGTGACACCTATCCCATCATACTTTGGGATATCTTATATATTTTATCCAACTGGTAGCTGGCACTCACGTATACTCCTTAATAAAGGTGAGCTGTCTGATCTCAAAACTCGACCATTGTTAATGTTTCCAGACAGTTTGCTTTGTCTGTTGTTATTTACCAACTGTGTGGTTTGATGGGGGTACGCCATTGGCTATCCATATGATGTAGTTTGCGGAGCATATGCTGGGTGATGATGAGGGGGACAATATGATTGGTAGTGCGTGCATGGGAATGGTGGTGACAGTGGTATGTATGGTGGTGTATTTGGCTGGGTGATCATAGTATATGTAAGATGTTGTAACAAGGATGGTAGTGCTTGTAATGCGATAGTGTTGTTTTTAGAGGTTAATCGGGTTGGTGTAATGACCGAAAAATCCAACCAATTTAAATTTTTCAAAAACAACCCGATTTCATTAAATTATTACAAAAAGGTTTTCAATATAAATCATTTAGAGTATTCCCAGAATCACATTACTACAAAATCATGAGGAGCGGTACGATCACGCCTTTGCCTTGCCACGGTCTCCTGAAGAACCTGAAAAACATTAAACCACAACTGTAAGCCCGAAAGCTTAGTGAGATACCCCCAAAATACCAACCACTTATACCATACACATATCATGCTATCTCATAACAAATCACAGAACATCCATGCATATCGGGTCTACTGTGGGACTGGTCCGCCTTGTCGGGCCTTCAGTCCACCTGGTCCACCCTCCGTGTCCAGTCATGTCCCTCGAGTCTGCAGTGTGGTTGGTCCGCCCGCACTGGGCCTTCAACTCACCTGGTCCACTCTCTGAGTCCAATCCTGTCCCTCGAGTCTGCAGTGTGGTTGGTCTGCCCGCACTAGGCCTTCAACTCACCTGGTCCACTCTCTGAGTCTATAGTATGACTGGTCCGCCCGCATCGAGCCTTCAGTCGGCCTAGTCCACTCTCCGAGCCTCGGCACGTCTGGTCCGCCCTCGTGGGGCCTACAGCCTATCCGGACCGCTCGCTGGGCCTTCGGAATAACCGGTCCGCCCTGGGTATCTTGGCCTACAGCACGAAGCAGGACCCGCCTCAACCCAACTCCAGTCCAAACAACCATGTGCACATAAACATACAATCACATAACAATTCATATTCAGGCAAACCGATCTAGCAGATCACATAGCACAACATACTCTAACAGGATATCGACCTAACCGGTCACTAGCATAGCATCATCCTATCTACCAGGATACCGAACTTAACCATGTCTCTAACGAATACCATCCTAACTACCAGGATGCAAACATATCAAAGCAATAACATAACAACAGATACCCGGATCTCAATTTGATAAAGGGCTGGCCTTGGTGCCTTAGACCCTGTTGATATAGTGAGGATAACTCACCTCGAAATTGCCGGCTGAAAGGATAAGATCTCGCTGCTCCAAACTCCGACACGAACTCCTCCACTGAACATCAAAACACTCAACTCAACAAATACCCTTAATTACCAAAATACCCCTGGAATACAACTGGTCAACCCTTGGTCAAAGTCAAAGTCAAAGTCTACCCCTGACTGACTCTACTCGCCGAGTCAACCCAATAACTCGCCGAGTCCTCATACACAGAACCTCCTTCACTTTGCGAACCAACTCGCCGAGTCACCCCGAGACTCGCCGAGTCCAACGACTCTGAGTCCACTCGCACCCAACTCACCGAGTCATCCCTTGACTCACCGATTCTCGACTCAACCAGAAAATATTAGGACTCTTCGACAAGACTCGCTGAGTCCAAGAACAAACTCGCCGAGTCTAAGGCTATCTTCAACCTACTCGCCGAGTTGTTCATCCAATTCGTCGAGTTCCAGCTCATCTTCAAGCAACTCGTCGAGTCCACCCATGTGAATTGCCGAGTACCACCAGGTCTGAATCCATACAGAAGCTTTCCAAGCCATGCAGATGATCCAAACCATAGATCTATTTCTCCTAATGCCATCCATCACGTATAGTGGCAATCTTTACGTGAATCCAAGAAGATCTAGGCACTTTTACTCTAGGGTTTGGGGTTTGGGACTAGATAGCTCCATCAACAACACAAGAACAAGGACTTTAATGCTCTTAAGACCTTCTCCACTCCAGATCTGAGGTAGCAACCTCATATCTATCCTTCAAACTCAAGATGCCACAAATCTAAGCTTCCCACACAACCCCAAAATGATGAATCTAGAAGAATACAGCACAAGAACGAGATATTACCTCAAAATGAAGCCTCCAACAGCAAGAGATCCGAATCTAAATAAAGCCCTTTGATCCAAGCCTCTTCTCCTTCAAGATTTCTTCAACAAACACCTCCCCAAGCTCCAAATGCACTCCAATCTTCCACAATCACGCTTTCTAGGGTTTTTGGACTTCAAGGGGGATCAAAGAGGATGGGGAGAGGGTATAATGTCCTTTAAATAGGGCTCACCCCCCGGATTTAGGGTTTTCTCCACTCAGCACCTACTCGCCGAGTAGGCCACTTGACTCGCGACCAAAGTCGCGACCCTACTCGCCGAGTCCATCCATGGACTCGCCGAGTTGCCCTTCAAATTTACACTTTTAGCCCTGAACTCTACTCTTGCTATTCTGGGATGTTACAGTTGGTCTACTAGATATGTTTCACCCAACTGTGCTCAAATTACTAGTTGTTTCCATAGTGATCGAGATTGCATGCCTGGTCTTCTTGATTTTTTCTTGTTGTATGGTCATTCACCTCTACTCCGGGTTGAACATTTGGTTGAGTAGTAAGTAGCGTAGGTTGTTGTTACAAATATGTTGTAACGGGCCCTATTATTGGTGCTGTTATGGTGATCGGTGTAAAGGAAGGTATCAAATTGACTAGGATAAAGAACGAATGAGAAAGAGGATGCGAGTTGTTTTTGCTTATCCTGCATGACTACATACAAATATCAACAATGTTGCTATGTCGAAATGTTGGTTCGTTGTTAGAAGCCCGCGTGAGGCTTTATCGAATGAACACTCAAGATATCACGTTGCAAGGACTAGAAAAACAGTAGGTTAGATATCTATGCCGAGGGATGGACGCCGATATTGCTCTCCGATGCCTAAATTATATGCCATGTTGGAGTTATGAAGTAAAATTGTTGGGAATTGCTTACTCTTCAGGAAGGATCGAGCTTCCTTTTTATAGATGGGCTTTTGTCTGGTTCATAATCTTTCCACGTGGGTCTTGCTTTGGCCTCGAGGCCATAAGGGTAAGACTTATTAATAAATTTAGCTTGCCTTTTTCGTGTTTCCTAGGATGTTACTTTGTAGGCTTTATACGAAAGATCTATTTTATAGGTTGTATGTGGTTGATATATCATAGTGAGGTGAATACTGACCCGTGTCATTCATGTGTTGCAACCTTTCTTTATATCATAGGGTTTGACCGGTCTGTTTTTTGTATGAGCTGACGCCCATGCTCCATTATTAGGTGTTACATTATCAATTTTACAGATTTAAAGATAAAGAACTTTATACGTGATGATTCTAATTTCTGTTGGAAATAGTGCTTACAATCACAATAGTAGGTAATATTACTATTTATTGACAGTGTCTTGTTGGGTTACACACAATGACAATATTGAAAAATTATAGACACAAGAGAAATATAGGGATCTATTTTGTTAATTTACTATATGCATAATTAATTAATAGAAACATGTAGAATTAAAGGGGTCAAATTGTAAAGAATTAAAAGTCAAATCTTTTGGATATGCAGTTGCCTTATAAATAATTTCATAATTGATAACTAATTATACAATAAGGACTCATAAACCTCCTCTATAAATAGAGGATCATATTTTTAGATTTCATTATCCCAAATTCACCTGATTTCTAGTAGCAAAAACCTAGAGAAATCGGACTCCACTGTTCGATCTCTAAATCCTGAACAAACCCGTCAGACACGCCGCTTCCCTTGATCCAACTGTTGCGTTTTAAATCCTTTTGGGGTTTGTTGATGGTCCGTTACAGAAGGTGTCTTCACTGATCTACTACGTCTTGGATGCGATTACAAATGACATATCCTATGTTGGGTTCTCATCCATCAGATCAACTGGCGAGAAAGATGAAATCAAATGCTACGAAAGTAAGTTTCTTTCCACTGTATTTGTTGCTTTCGTGGCCAAAGAACCTCACAACCCAACAATTTATTATTCTTGATTTCTTAGACCAATGTAAGAAAAGTGTTACTTATGACTAAGGAGATGTTTAATAAGTTATGAGTTTTGTATATTTAGTGAAAAATTGAAGTGTACATGTAAATTATCTATTCGATTCATTTACTGCAGATGAGTGAAGATGATGATTATAATTCTGGATTTCATTTTATTTTTAAGGATTCATGGAATGAAAATGAAAAGAAAATAGATATACAAAATAAGATCATATTAAAAAAGGCAAATAGTTAGTGTGTTTCATGATCCATGACTAAATCCACAGCCAAATGAAACCACATTAGCATGTCCATAGAATTGATTTTGGGACAAAAAAAAACACAAATTTTAGACCAAACAAAGATATATTAAGTGAAGAAATGGGACCAAATTTGTAATTAACTCAAAAGTTTATTTTGATTAGCAATAAAAAATAGGGAAATCTGCGAAAAAGTCCCAATATTTTAGGTCAGTTTACGATTTAGTCCCAAATTAAATTTTGTTTACAAAAAAGGACAGATTACCGGCTAAAACTTCGGATTAACCCTTCGTGGCCGGTTTCACAGATTTAGCCGGTATCTCATCTTTTTTCGTTACTTAATCAAAAATTTAGGGCTTTTTCATTAATTAATCAAAATTTTAGGGCTTTTTCATTATTTATTACCAATAAACCAAAATATTTGGACTTTTCTGAAGATTACCTTTAAACTAATATATATTATATGATCTAATTTAATATGTACTATTCCATGTCTTTTTTCTTATGCTCTTCTAGGCTCACTGTGTGTTTTTATCGGTGTCGTCAAACCCAACAACAAAAATATTACTCACAAGCCTCGTTAACTCCATTGATTTTCCAAAATTATCCATTCACAACTCTATGATCATCTTTCAATCTCCAAATAAAGAACGGAGAAAATCCTTATTGATTACGTGGATGCCCATATTACCTAACCATGACTTCAACTGTGGTTCCAACACTTGGATGTTCCTATTACCTAACCATGACTTGAATCCTATTTCGAACCCATACACTAGTCGCATTGTCCATAGTGTTGTTCACAACAAAATACGAATCCCACATGGTTTAACCACTGATACCTTGGCTCAAGTCTTACATGATCCTTGTTTCCTTACAATAGGGCTTGAAAACCATGAAGAATGAACCATTAATCTTAAAAAACTCAACATATGTAAAAAAATCAACTCGATATGATGTATTGAAAACCATGAAGAATGTTAACTCTAATTGTAAAAAAATGTCAACAAGCTATCCATCATAAACTATTAAAATATTAATTTGGTATACCTACGAGCTACGGTTCCAACACTCGGATGTTCCTATTACCTAACCATGACTCGAACCTTATTTTGAACCCATACACTAACGGCATTGTCCATAGTTTTGTTAACAACAAAATACAAATCCCACATGGTTTAACCACTGATACCTTGGCTCAAGTCTTACTTGACCCTTGTTTCCTTACAATAGGTGTAACATCCCGACTCCCAGGTATAATATTTAATTAAGTTATATTCTTGTTGTCTGATCAACTTGACGAGTTGGAGGCCCCAACTCGCCGAGTAGAGAGTGTTAATGGTCGCGTAATTTCTAGAGTCTACTCGACGAGTTGGAGGACCCCAACTCGACGAGTAGGAGCTGAGTGTGAAAACCCTAATTTTCAGGGTTTGTGTCTTGCCAAAAACTAATGCATTCTGGAAGCCCCAAATAAACTAAAACGTAATAATGACAATTATTGTAATATTACAATAATTGTCATTATTACGTTTTAGTCTATTTGGGGCTTCTAAAATGCTTTACTTTTTGACAAAAAAAATCAATAAATGATGAACCATGTGGGATTTATCTTATGTCGGGGCTTCTATAGTGTTGTAAGGAAACAAGGGCCAAGTAAGACTTGAGCCAATGTATCAGTGGTTGAACATGTGAGATTCGTCTTCTATTGTTAACAACACTATGGACAACGCCATTAGTGTATGGGTTCAAGTCATGGTTAGGTAATAGGAACATCCAAGTGTTGGAACCACGGTTTAAGTCATGGTTAGGTAATAGGGACATCCACGTAATCAACAACGATTTTCTCCGTTCTTTATTTGGAGATTGAAAGATGATCATAGAGTTGTGAATGGATAATTTTGGAAAATCGATGGAGTTAACAAGACTTGTGAGTGAGATTTTTGTTGTTGGGTTTGACGACACCGATAAAAACACACAGTGAGCCTAGAAGAGCATAAGAAATAAGACATGAAATAGTACATATTAAATTAGATCATATAATATATATTAGTTTAAAGGTAATCTTCAGAAAAGTCCAAATATTTTGGTTTATTGGTAATAAATAATGAAAAAGCTCTAAAATTTTGATTAATTAATGAAAAAGCCCCAAAATTTTGATTAATTAACGAATAAAGACGAGATACCGGCTAAATCTGTGAAACCGGCCACGAAGGGTTAATCCGAAGTTTTAGTCGGTAATCTGTCCTTTTTTGTAAACAAAATTTAATTTGGGACTAAATCGTAAACTGGCCTAAAATATTGGGACTTTTTCGTAGATTTCCCTAAAAAATAGACAAAATTGCAAATTTGGTCCCTGTGGTATGTCCAAACTAGCATGTTTGGTCCAAAATGGGTTTGGCTTGCAAAGATGGTCCAATAGTTTCTATTTGTTGCGAGTTTAGTCCAATGGCTTAACAGCCGTTACCAAGCTCCCGTTAATTTACCCATGCCCCTCTCACTTAAGGGTATTTTAGTCCATTAATCCCTGTAACCGTTCCCGCTAAAGCTCAATAAAAGCAGTTCGTCTCCTCCCCCTCCTCAATAAAGTAGACCGTCGTTCTTTACCAAGATCAATAAAAGCCCTAGACACAAAATCAGTTCTGTTAGTTAAGCTGCGATTTGTAGAGATTATCGGTGGCTGAACATAACAATGTGGCACGTAAGGTTGTTAAACACACCCTTCAACCCCAAGGTTGTTTATGGTACGTAATTTGCCCTTTTTCATCTTTTGATTTCTTGATTTTTTTTAAGTAAGTCCAACTGAGGTGTTTTTTTTTCTTGTTTTGAAGATGGACACCCAACATTGTTTACCATTAAGTTGTACCATGGAGGTGAGTTCACCAAGTACCCTGATGTTCGTTACATTGATGGAACTGTAAACTATGTTGACATGGTAGACATAGATGAGTTTTCAGTTCATGAGCTCGATGCAATCATGAAGGGTTTTAGATATGGGGTTCCTCCTATTATATACTACCATTTTCTTGTGCCTGGTGGAGACTTCCACTTTGGTCTTCGCCCTTTAGGAAATGATCAAGATGTTGCAAACTTTTCTCAATATGTCAGTGAGCACAAAGTGATGAAGGTATACACAGAGCATGGTGAAACAAGACTACTCACCTATTTCTTGATTCCATGGATGAGGATTCTGACCAGGACAGGAAGAGAAGAGCAGTTTTGAAACAACTAAGTAAGGAAAAAAGTTGTTCTTTAGGTGAGGTTCATAAGTGTCATTTTAAAATAGGTCAAAAGTATAACAGTAAGCAGGAGTTGAAAGAGAAAATCAAAATGCATGCATTGGAAACAAAAAAGAATATTGCATTTAAAAAAAATGACAAATCCAGATTGAGGGCCATATGTAATGGAGTTGTGGCATTTACTAATGATGGAGTTGGTGGACCTACCCAAGATGAAAAAAGTAAAGGGAAAATTAAAGGGAAAAGTAAAGAAAAGGACAAACAAGGTGGTATAAGTCAGGAAAAAGCAGATTCTTCTTGTCCTTGGATGTTACATGCCTCGAGGTCTACAGATGCAAGCAGTTGGTACATTAAAACATATGAAGACAAACACACTTGTATGAATAAAAGGAAGGTGAGAGTTGCAACAGCGAAGTTTATGTCCAAACAAATCATGGATCAAGTAGAATCCAACCCTACTATCCCAGTTAAAGCTCTCCAAGAACAATTACAGAAGAAGTATGGAGTGGGCTTCTCAATCCATAAAGTTTTTAGAGCTAAAGTAGATGCAAAAAAGATTGTAGTGGGTGGTTACAAAAAACAGTATGAAGTTCTGAGAGACTATATCCTTGAGTTGCAGTCAACCAATCCTGATACCACAGTCAAATTAGAACTTGGAGATGTTTCAGAATCTAATTTGGTGAATTGCACTTCAAGATGTTTCAAAAGAATTTATGTTTGTCTAGGGGGGATGAAGAAGGGATTCAAAGCTTGTTTAAGAGATTTCTTGGGGCTAGATGGGGCTCATATGAAAGGCCCTTATCCAGGCCACATCTTAACTGCAGTTGGATTAGATTCCAACAATGGCATATACCCACTTGCATATGCCATCGTAGAGATTGAAAACTGCGAATCTTGGAAGTGGTTCCTTGAATGTCTTGGTGATGACTTGGATCTACATGCTATGTATAATTTCACTTTTGTTAGTGACAGACAAAAGGTAATGGTTGTTTATTTATTATTTTTAATGTTTATTTTGTTAATCATGTGTAATTTGTTGCCAGGGTTTGCTACAAGCAGTTAGTCAACTGTTCCCATGTGCTGAGCATAGGTTCTGTCTCAGACATATACATGAGAACATGAAGAAACAATGGAGAACTAAGGAATATAAAGATCACCTTTGGGATTGTGCCACAGCTACAACAGTGCCAGAGTTTAACCATTTCATGCACCAATTCAGTTTATATGACAAATCAGCATATGAATGGTTGAAGTCAATACCACCACAACATTGGGCAAGAAGCCATTTCACAGGTAAGCTATTATGACCCTTTTACCCTTTTACCATTTTACCCTTCACATAACATTATGACACTTTTACCCTTTTCTATATAGGGAGAGCAACCACAGACATGCTGTTAAACAACCTTTGTGAGGTGTTTAATGGCAAGCTAGTTGATGGGAGAGACAAACCAATTATTAGCTGCTTGGAGTTTATTAGGGAATATATGATGAAGAGGATATGCAATGTCCTCAAGGTGCAACAAAAGTGTTTAGGCCCACTCACCCCAACAGCAACAAAGATCATGGAGAAGAATGAAGCAGCTGCTACTCAGTACATTGCAGAATGGTGTGGTGATGAAAAATACCAAGTCAAAGGCCCATGGAATGATCAACATGTTGTTTGATATGCATGAAAGGGTATGCAGCTGCAGGAAATGGGAATTAACAGGTATCCCTTGCAGACATGTGATTTCTGTGTTGTATAACAAAGCAGATCATGGTGAGTGTGTACAAGAGCTCCATACTTATGTCCACAAGGTGCACTGGCTACAAACTTGGAAAACTGCATATGGGTACAAGGTGGAACCAATTAAAGGTCGGGCACTGTGGCCTAGAAGTGAGTGTCCAATGCAGATCACACCTCCCCCACACCGTAATCAACCTGGGAGACCCAAGAGGAAGAGAAGGCAATCCATGGAGGAGAAAAGTCAAAGCAAGAGTCAAAGTCAGAGTCAAAGGTCAGATGTTGGTCCCAGTGAGATTCATGGTCATGGTCCACATGGTAGTGGGAAACTAACAAGAAAGTTTGTTAGTGTGACTTGTAGTAAGTGTGGAAACAAAGGGCACAACTCCAGGACATGCAAAGGTCAGGGAGGGACTTGATGGTCTATGTTGGTTTTATCTTTTGGTTTGACTGTATTGAACAACTTTGGTTTGATTCCTAGATGCAGGATGTCTTTGTTGCAATAACTTTGTTTTCAATTAACTTATGACATGTATTTTGAAGATGGTAATAGGTATTATGTCTTTAGTATGCTTTTGTGTTAACTACATATGGATGCATTATATGTTATCTTTAGAAGGTTATGTATGAACAATAGAACAAATCCATAATTGGTCAATAGATACCAAATTTTCATTAACCATTACTTTGCATTACAACAATGTTCCACATTAGCAAAAAAATACTTAAACCAGACACATATACCCCTATCCTATTACAAAAGATAACCACAATCAACCTGTGGACTTACAACAAGAACACAACACAACAACAAAAAAATCCAACTATAGACTAGGTAATACTTCAACATAGTTGCTTGTTCTTTGATCTTCTCCATTGCTTTTTCATGCTTGCTTGCTTGTTCTTTTATATCATCCATTGCTTTTCGTAGCTTATTGATTGTCCTAAGCAGCCCTGGTATTATAACTTTGGAACGAGCACACATGGGTTCATCATACCACCCAATAAACCCACATGATGAATTCTTGAAAAAAAGAAGAAAGAAACATTAGATCATCAGGGAGTAGTCTTCAAAATAAAGTTTAACACACTTACCGGGTCAGGACATCCCCAAAATCGGCGCCCTGGGTTGTTATCTGTCCACGATGTCCGAACTATCGCCCACTTTCTGCAGACGCACATCACCATTGTCGATGGAGAAGATGAAATCACAGGGGGGTGATCGATGGAGAAGATGAAATCAGAGAGGGAGTGATAGTTAGGGCTTGTTGCTGGAGACGAGAATAAGACGTTGTAGTCTCTTTATGGACTAAATAATAATAAAATAATAAAGGGGCTAGATGAATGGACTAAAATACCCTTAAGTGAGAGGGGCATGGGTAAATTAACGGGAGCTTGGTAACGGCTGTTAAGCCATTGGACTAAACTCGCAACAAATAGAAACTATTGGACCATCTTTGCAAGCCAAACCCATTTTGGACCAAACATGCTAGTTTGGACATACCACAGGGACCAAA